GCATGTCATAGTTGGAGCATTATTAGCGTAGCATTGACTGCATGAATATGAAGATCGTCGTCAAAAAGTCGTGCAGCGCTTACTCGAGCTGCATGATGATGAACGAAATGGTCTGGGCATATACATCTGGTGAAGATGTCACAGATGTCCCAAGTAATATTGTTGTGTGCAGTGCCCCCCCCTTCATGATCACAGAACAAGCCCAAAAGACGAAAGTAAAGACATTCACTGAGGTAGAGCAGTCAGGCACCAGAAAAGACAGTCTCCTCTGATATCGACATGGAAGTCAAGGTCAATGGTAGAATAGAGAATAGTGGGGTCAGAGGCAAAGAGCCATCCCGAGAGAAGAGTAAGATGGCAACTAAAACAGTTACCCGTCGAGTATTTTGCGTGCCCCTGATCAAGGGACAAGTTGTATTGGTGAAGAAGGTGTTCAGGAACAAGACACCCAAGCGACTTTACAGTTGTGTGGTCTAGGATGACTTCAATATTATCCGTCACGTGAAGTTAGGTGATCCTCCAAGTTTAGTCAAAGAATTGTTTTTCTTGCCGTTGATGAGCAAAAGGACGCTGAAGCTAGCCTGGCGAAAGGCGAAATCTCGCAAATATGTGCGATTGTCGAAGAAACTGTCGACGATGACATCAATACTGCGGAAGTATTTGATGAGAAGACACGGAAGGAAAGGTTTGATGAGCAGTCGTACGACGCTCTAAGGACAAAGTATGCGTACAGACTTGCCTAGAACTTTGCTGATTTATTTCCAAACAAGATGCCGGGCGAATTGCTATCTGACATAGACATTCTTCATGAGTAACACTGCAGTGACCGTTGCCTTAAGAACAAGTCTTTGCCATTAACGAGTTCTTTGTGCAACGACAGACGGGTAGTCACGCGCGTGAAAGTTGGTCTCCGCATTGTAGTCCGAACTTCTATGTGAGGAAAGCCACAGGTGATTAATGCATTATTCACGCTTTTGATAATTGAGCGATGCAGCCATACCTGCCCGAGTTTTCGGTTTCACGCAAGGTGTTGACTTTTGATGGAATGGTTAGCCGTACGACTTTCATTGCCATCGATCTGAAAGATGGTTTCTATCAGATACATATGCGCAAAAGTGATACACCACTAACTGCAGTCAGTACCCTCAGTGGTATGCTGTGGGAATGGTTGGTGATACACTAGGTTCAACGAGCGCTTCCGCAAATTTTAACAAAATGGTAACGAATCTTCTTCGTTCATTGCGAGAATTTGCTCCGAGTTACTTTGACGAGATATTTGCTTATGGTAAGAAAACCGGTGAGGTCTGATGTCGATGTTCATCTTGATCATCTTCGTCAGGTCTTTCAAGTTATACGAGAACGTAAAGTCTACGCTAATATAAACAAGTGCATTTCCTTTGCACCAGAGATCCCCGTTCTAGGCTGCTTTAGGGACAAGAATGCCGTTCGTGTTGATCCGAAAAAGTCAAAGCTATCAATGATTGGTATGTGCCAAACAATGAGAAACAGCTGAGACAATGGTTAGCTTGGCCAATTATTAACACAAATTCACGCGCAACTGTGCAGCGTTGATGCAACCCCAAACGACTCTTTTGAAGAAGAACATTGAGTGGGAATGGTAAGAGATCATTAAACGGTATTTGCCGAAGTAAAGATGAGCTTAAGAGAATCTTCTGTTCTTGCGATTGTGAGCCACGATAAGCGTTTCCATAGCAATTGATTATACCATCGGTTGTGCGCTGATGCAACACGACGATGAGGTTCGAGAGCAAGTTGTTTTGTATCAGTCGCGACAACTCCGGCCTGCGGAACGGAACTATCCAGTTCATGACAAATACTTTCTATCTACGAAGTATGCTCTGGTTAAGCTCCGTGTGTACTTTTTTGAAGTGAAGCGCTTTGCGATCTATACAGATCATGTATCACTGCGTACAGCAGTATAGACTCCTCAATTACTGCAAAGAATAGCTCGATGGATTTATTCTTTGCGTAGTATAATTTTGTTGTATTCTACAAGCCAGGCAAGATGAACATCTTAGCCGATGAGCTGTCAAGAGATTCGGACTATGATCCAATTTCCAGGAGCGAAAATTTTCACCATTCATGTCGACAATGCGAAGATGTTTAGACAATCAAAATCAACTATGACTACATTGAGCGAAGAAACTGTCGAAGAGTACAATTCTAATAAGGCATGTCGGGACTTGTTGATGTATTTTTATGAGCTTTTCGTCAAAGCACTGCAAGGTCTTCCGACTCGCTCAAGATCGCGCGTTCACCGTTTTGGAGAACACGACGGATTGTCGTACTATGCGCGGGGACACAGCAAGAGTTGGTGATCCATATGACGAGGGTTGCGTCATCGTCTCTTGTACAAGTAACATGAAAGCCCTTCGGGTGGCTATTTCGGACGTGAGAAAACGTTTTTTAGGAAAACTATTGGCCACCCGTGTATAAGTGGGTGCGCACGTATGTGAGGACTTATCAGAGAGTGAAACCATCAGATTCCACTCAGGCCCCACTTCGGTCGCTGGCGGTGCCGACTGACAGCTGGAAGTCTGGGAGTGGACTTCATTTTCGGACTTCCGCGTGACACACATGGACGCAGTGGCATCCTTGTGTAAGCAGACTGATTCAGCAAGATGGTTCATCTTGCGCCTGTTTCGGATAGGATCTCTACCGAGAAGACAGCTAAGTTCTTTGAAGACACTTTTTTTATTCTTTAGGACCTTCCCGTTGTGATCGTGTCTATCCGTGAAACCCGTTTTACGTCGAAGTTTTGGCATAAATTGTCAGACGATTGGACACCAAATTGTCCTTATCAACAGCGGCGCACCCTGACACGGACGGTCAAACAGAGCGTGTGACTCGAGTCCTGGAGGAGTTACTGCGTAGTTACGCTACGTCGTTCAGAAAGTGGAGTGGATTTCTCCTTCTTGCAGAGATTGCGTTATACAACTCCACGCATGTCTCGAGAGGTCATCTACCATTTAATATGAACTATGGCATTCATCCTAGAGTGCCTGCTTCCATAATCGGCGAGGTCTCTACCTTAAGTGGGGATGGAACTATGGCTATAGAGCCACAGTCAGACATCAATGCTGTCACAGAGTTAAAAGCGAATTTTGATACAATGAGAGCTCTAGACGACATGACAAGCCGTGAGGAACAACACGTCGATCACTTTATTTTGTATAGCCAAGCATTTGCTTGGTTGGTTGAAGAGCAATTGCGATTGCTCAGTATTTGCAAAAAGAACAAGCAGATTGGAGCGAAGGGAAGAACAAGAAACTCTATAATGTCAATGATCTTGTACTACTTAGCAGGACACATATGCCTGAAAAGCAGTGTCCAACTTGGGAAGCAGGGAGTTTTCAGCAAGATTTACTGAACTGATTTAAAGTCTTGAAGTGCAATGGTGATACGTATACATTTGCAATCCCCACATGCATGCGCCTACATCCTACATTGTATGTTGGTGGGCTAAAGTTGTATCTTTCGAGTGGATCTGCCAGTCCCACTGTACCTTTGGTAGATGATCGAGCTGATCATGAAGTCTCTTCATTTGTGCACGAAGAGCAACCAACTCTTCGCTCTGGAAATCCTTTTTGGCGTGCAAGCGTTGAAGGACAACGAAGGATTGCTTCTTTACTGATTCCAACACTTGAAGGCGGAAATGGTACTCACCACGGAATACGTTGCAGAATCTACCTCTTCAAAAGTGTGAAACAGATGTTCGTGAGCCATCTCACGAGATTTCCTGTCTTTCCGAAGTCGAACATGAACCTGTTCAAATCGTAGTTCAAAACAAGACTCTAAAGCCGAGCATTGGGCGGGACCATCAGCCAGAACGTCGAGTTTCGAATACTGCTCTGCAGCAAGCTCGAAACGCTCTCACAGCGATCTTAAAGCGTCAAGCAACGCTGTTATAATGCCTCATTTTTCACGCGGTGATCGCTCTCCGGCTTCCAGAGTCGCTCAATCGCTTTCACGTTCAACACCACCTCCGCTATCGGACTCTCGTTGAGAGCGTCGTTGGGTAGTCGAGACTATTGTCGATCACGATAATTAATCTATCCATCATCGTGGAAAGAACTAGTCACCATCAACGCTTCTACAGAGTTTGGTGGCGCGGCTATCCATCGGACTCGGGCACTTGGGAACCTCATTAGGCTTTTGAGTCTGATGTCCCCGACGTGGTCCGCAGCTACGAGAATTGCTTGTTGTGGCTCACTGCTGCTTTTACTATTCGAACTCTGCCTTTTCTTCCACCAAAGCTATAGCAGCCTCGAGTCCCGCCAAAGCCATTTGTTTTCGGATAGGGGTGATCTTGACTCGGCAGGAGCTCCACTGGTTGGGCAGTGCGTGACGCCGAATTTTTTCGACTTACTGTCGATTTAATAGCCTTCAAGCCACGACATATCTTAGATAGATAAGCTAACATCATAAATATAGGTCTAGATCAAGACGATGTTTTACGCCGTCGAAGCCTTCAAAATGTACCTAAATATCCCGCAAAACCTTTAAGATATCCCCGTAGCTGGATGCACGTCTCCGATTCTGCAACGTTATTACCTCCGCAAATTGTCTGCTGTTTCGACAGCGCGAGTCCTATGTAAATGCACGACAATTTACTTAATCTGGACCTCCCGTAGCTCCACAAAGCACAGGCCGTGACCAGCGATTTTGAGCCGTGAGCCCTATCCGTTAAACAGGGTACATTTTTGAGGGCTGGATCCAAATCAACTAGGCACAATAGTACCCTATTGTTCCCAGTAGGAGACCCTGCACCTCTTTTCGCGATGGGGGGTAGATGACTCAGTATCTACGCCTGTTGCAGGAGTATTAAATTTATATACTACGGGAGGTTAAAGATACACCTGTGTAATATTGTAATATGTCGTAAGAAAAATTGACAGAAATTTGAAATTGGGCTGTGTCTTCAATTGTAATATGTTAACACCCTATCTTCCACTCAAGCCCTAAGAAACCCTACAACAATGGCCACTCAAAAGGCACCGATCTTTCATGGCCGCAAATTTATTCTTACAAGAACGCTCTCAAATGACCTAGCCACTGAAGTGCGACGACTCATTGAAGAGCATGGCGGAGTCATATCATCATCTCCTGCAGGTGCCATAGAAATCGTAGACTATGATGAGCTGGACTCGAGACGTCCTGAGTGGGTCTCGGTAGATTATATATATGACTCGGTCGCCGAAGGGGCGCTTCAAGACTCGGCGAAATACTCGGGGGCCGTGTTTAGCTCAAAACCGAGTGCAACGCAGCTGAAAGGGCGGGTTCGATATACGGTGGAGGACGACGCGCGTCTGCTGCTTTTTGCCAAGGTGCGTGGCTGGGAGTCCATGAAGTCAGTACCCGCGAGCACCTGGAAACTTGCGGAGAGCAGTCGCGTGACGAATCATTCGTGGCAAAGTATGCACGAGCGCTTTCGAAAACAGCTTAAGAGCAAGACGCCCAAGGAGCAGCGTATAATTATAGCGAGAGCTGTGGTAGGTGGCGTCAAAGAAAATCTGTTAAAATGACCAAGTACTTACTAGAGAGGCGAGTGCATCTGAAATAATAGGAGATCATTCGTATGCGACTGCAACGATCCAACGATGGCGAAGCGATAAAAGAAGAGGCTATCGCAAGGGATTCGTCATCTATAGCTACTCCAGCGAATGTTGGACCAACAACGCCAACTTCCTCAGAATCTGTAGTCACGCCGGTAACGAGCTTGCCACCACGGCGTTGTGGAGTCGGAACGCCAACGCACCAAAAGCGTAAGAGAGGCTCTTTTGCTATCGGTAATTTTGAAAGATCAAGTCAGGAAGACGAGGAAGAAGACGTGAAAACCGATGTAGCCAATGTTAATGACACAGGTGGAGCTCGGGTCGTCTTCTTTCGAAGTGCATGGGCAGAGTATGCAGCAGATCCAAGTAAGAGAGCTCGTCTTCATGCTTTGTCCAATTCTGACGATATACACACACTTTCGAGCGAAGGGAATAGCTTTAAGGTTTCAGATAATTGCTCACATGCAAGCGAGACATGTACAGAAGATCAATGTCTGCTTGACAATGGCAGTAGTGAAAAGAATGGGGTAGATGTACGGTTTGCTACAGAAGATGAGTCGGACGCTATTATATGCCAACTTCAACTCGAAACAGGACAAAAGGTCCCAGTTGTTGTGAATGCGTTGTATTACTGCAACGGAAATGTTGATGTGGCGAGAGCATTTCTCAAGGGAACTCTGCCATCAAATCTACGTATGTGGTCACAAGAAGACGATTTACTAGTTGCAAAGCTCATAGTCGATAAAAACACTGACCGATCAGCTATAAAAGCCGCTTTGGCTCACGGGAAACTTGATTCCATGCGAATTTCCCGCGATACAGATTCCATTTTGGATCGAATTCATTTCTTGCTGTGATGTAACAAATTTTAAAAGATGCGCAATGCTTTGGCCATGTATCAAAGGCTATCATTTGTTGTGTAAGTTGCTTCAAGACTTCCGCACTGAGTTTTGCATTGAATCCTCAGATACCTTAGCGAAGACTGTGACCTATTGATTCGGTGAGACTTCAGTTAGAAATTTAGTCAGACGGTACGAGAATCATTTTTTCGCTCAATCTACCAGTATATCAAGTGCTGAGAGAACAAGCACTACATGTTTGGACTAATCTTTATAGGAATAGGTCTGCGAGCATACTTCTTGTTGCGCGTGCCTTCAATGTGCGGATGTACAGGCGGTCTGGAAGTATTGCCTCTCAGACCCGTGCCAGGGCTTGACATATCTCCAAGACGAGGCGTGTTCGGCGCTTTCTGTCGGCACGAACACATATGTTTACCACATCCATATACTTTCCATTCTGACCATTTTTCAGCAACGCACCACATCCTGTCGATCACACTCCTTCGTCACGAGTTGATGCTGCAGAGGTGGAAGTCTCACACCGTACTCATTTGAAATTGGTGGCAGTGGAATGCAGTTCCGCTTTTCTGCCAGCTCCATCATCAGCTAAAACACAATAAGTTTTTATACTTAAGTCCACTTTGAGATGACGACAGCCTGATCACACCTCACGAGACGGTACTTGAGCGTAGTGGTGGTTGAGCCTCGATTGAATAGCGAGACGAACGTCGTCTGAATCAACCGTCTACGATCATAAGACAATACCATTTTGATATATCGTCTTGGACAGAATTTAAAACCGTGATCTCTGACCTGCTTATCCGCGTACATCGAATATTCTTGAGCATCTACAAGAATCTCAGTCACATAGCCTAAAACACCGCAGTGATAAGTACAATTGAAATTGCAAATTACATTGTAATAAAGGTAGCAAAGGTAAAGAGTACGGTGAACAAACTCATGAAGCTGCGCTATAACGCGAGGCTCGTATTTATCGGCGCTCATGGATATCAGTAATTGCTGCATGGAAAGAACATCTAACGGCTGCACATTGATCCCCTCGCCGCGCTTGCAAGCATCTCCTTCATCCTCGTGGAAGCGCTTCTTTCCCATAGCATTAATGCCCATTGTGCTAATGACACATGATTATTGTGAAACTTTTTTACAACATATTTACAAAAATAGACCCTTGTAAAAATCCGTCAGTAATGCCGAAAAACATTAACATGTCAAGAAGTGACGACAATTCTGCCGAAATGTAAAAGGGAGTAGCATTTGCACCATCGCTTAAAAGAGTCTGCTCACGGAAAAGCAGTATTTTTTTAATATTATACTGTAAGCTATTTGATATCAGTCAGCTCTATCGCCATGCAAGAAGCAGACAATTCTCCAGACTATCGTTAGCGTCACAATACTGGACAAGTCGAGTTTTTAACTGGAATTGTGCCAAATAAGCCGCACGACCGGCATCAATAATACGTTTGCATTTTCTTCCGAGTTCTGCACGTTCGTCTTTGCTTCATTTACAAGTAAATCATAGATTAATTAGAAGGAAGTAACAAGTCTCTAAAGATTAGTCGAGTACCTTATGCCAAGAATGTGCTTCACCGCGTCGCCTTTGAGGCCCATTCCGCAAGTTGTCCAAGACGTCATGCATGTAAGCAGCTCAAACTCCTCAGGCTTGAAGTTATAAGTCAGAAAGAATTCGGGGTTCACGTAGTCCCCCCACGTGCAAACATGATGGCAGCAGAGTGCAATCGCCAATCCTTTGAATCTAGTGTTGACAGAAGCCGGTGCGTCTTTTGACAGGTTACTAATATCGCTGTCAGTTTCAGGCAGCGTCTGCGTGATAGCTCGAAGCGATAGATCTGTTGCTACACCACACAAATGCTTTGACATGCAAATGACAGGTTTGTTCGAAATCTCTTGCATACCGGCAAAATTAAGATGTCGAATGTCGATCTTTGCGCGCAATGTAGTCGGGGATTTTTTTGAGGCTACATCGTTCATACCGTTTCTACCAATAAAGTGATCAGCCTTGCCTCGTGTGTGCGCCCGATCAATCAGCACGAAAAGACTATCTGGGTACGTCTGAGCCAGTGCCAAAGACAACAACCCTCTTCCTGCTCCAAGCTCCACAAAAGCCGAATCTGGGTTCGCCAACAATTTTACTTTATCCATATGTCCAATTATCGATGCTTGCTGCTTTATATGCCGTAACACGCTATTCGAAGATCCAGATGTTTTTTTCGTTTCAAAAAGTTCATCACAGCAATTATGATGTAAGTGCTCGGACGCCAATTCACCAACACACGACGCATAAGCCACTTCAATCCGTGATCGTAGATTTGCAAAATCTATAGCTTGCAGCCGGTCAATAATGCTTTGTTGCACCTTAGCTGACAAATTCAAGTGTCCATTCTCATCCACTTCCTCTTCGAAAGTTTTTTCTTTCTTGTCAATGCTATGCAAGCCAGAATTAATGTTGTGACTGTAGAATGGCAGATTTTTCATGACATCAGCGTCTTTAACGCGATTACAGATTTGTACGTGCTTGGCCAGATCGTACTCGTAGACCGTATGCGATTTGTCTACCGGACATGGCACACGACGACGTGTAGAAAATTTAAACTTTTGCGATTTCTTGCATGACAGCACGTCGCTTTCAGGTAGGTGATTGCCGCAGAAGAGCGAGCCCGGAACTCTACACATTAACAATTAGCCCGAAATTGCCATCATTTTTATTCCTATGTACCTTGCAATGTTGCAATAACGCTTTTTTCGCAGCACTTTGAACATGCAGCGGCCCCACTGACCGTCATCATTCGCTTTGATTTTAGTCTGCTTACGACGCCTGCGTTGAATGGCGCGAGAGAGTTGCTCAGCGCCATTCCCGGATTCCATATTTCACTTGTTTGTGTTTTGACAATTTGTAAAAATTCAAAATCTGGGCGTCTGGATTGGTCAGGACACTTCAGAGACTTGTCATGGAGGACAATGCAGAGCTTCAGGTAAAGTCACTCTCACAAGCAGCTCAAGGCTCAAGTACTGCTTAAAAACTCATTTTAATGCGGCACCTTATGCTTGACTTTCATTCGGTTGTTTTGCCAATATGTGTTCAGAGCGAGGAGATTGAAGTTTTACGGGTAACTTTTGAAGAACTCTGTTATGCTGTCTGATTCCTTGCGTAAACACTTATCTAATCAGCGCATAAGTCCATATTTGAGGACGCGTTTTGCCTCAAGGCTGATTTAGATAATTCAGGATTGGTGAGATCGTTTACTATCTCACTTGGTGGACCTCACGCCATCGTCCTCTTGGTTCATTTGCCTCAAGGATACCCGTCCATTGATGCCCCGATCGCTGAAGTGTACGAATCTTTTGGATTGACGAACATACAGCGAGATGAAATTTTGGAGTGCTTGGTACGTCAGTGACGATTCATGATAGAATAAGTAGCTTATGGCTTCAACTTGATACAGACTGCAATTTTTGAACGTTCGAAAGGTCAAGTATGTCTCTACGAGTGGATTGGAAAGGTGCGAGACAGATACTCAAGCGCTGAGCTTGAGTCTTCTCAAGCGGTTGCTAGTAACACGAACAATAATGGAAAGGGACTTGCAGTCGAGATCCGTCTTCAGCAATTCGACTCCGATCCGCGGTTGCTGCGACCTCGTGTGCGAACAGCGCAACTCATTCGCAATGTTGAGCGTGAGGTTGTGATTGCACCACTAATTGTCCATGGTAAAATGATCATCGATCGAAAAAGCACCTTCATTGCTCACGCATGTCGTGTTAAAAGCGTTCAGGACGTGCGAGCGTTTCTTGCTCTCTTACTGGACGATCGCAAGGTTGAACAAGCAACCCACAACATTTTGGCGTATCGAATTGTTGGCGCAACTACAATTAAGGATAATGATGAGGATGGCGAGCACGGTGCTGGAAGTAAGCTATTATTTTTATTAGAGCTGCTAAAGGCTGAGAATGTGGCAGTTGTCGTGACGAGATGGTACGGCGGCATCAAGCTAGGTCCTGATAGGTTCAAACACATCAACTCATGTGCCCGACAGGCGCTGGAAGACAGTGGACTTATTCACGCTCAAAACGATTTCAGGAAAAAAGGCAAGCGATGATGTACCTGTCACCTCTCATAAACTCGATCGCAGATGTATATTTTTTGTACTAATGAGCTCGAAGTACCATTTATGCCTTCGAGGCACAACATTTTGCTCATACCCGCTTACAAGATACGATTACCTAGAGCTGATGAAATAAGAAGCAGCGCCATGTCGACAGTAATCTGAGCTCCATCGCCGGGCGAGAGCGTTGGATTCACCTCCACCATATCTAAACCCACCATCAAATTCGTTTCTGCCACAGCTTCAGCAACATAATGCGCCTCGCGCCAGGTGAGTCCTCCACGTACACGCGTACCCGTAGAAGGGGCAACTAATGGGTCCACTGCATCAATATCGTAGCTCATGTGTAGTGGTCGTTGCTTCCTACCGCAAAGGTGATCGAGAGCCATTTCCATTGTTTTACCAATACCGTGCCGATCCACATCCTGCATACTGAACGCCTTGATGTCCTTTTCATGAATCACGCGACGCTCGAACGAGTCAACATCGCGCAGACCGACATATACAAGCTGCTCTGGTTTCATCTTGGGGACGTTTGCAAGCCATTCGAAGCCTGGAACGTTCGAGCTGTCCACCATACCATCCATGAGAAAGGCAATTGGCATACCATGCATGTTGCCAGATTCTGAGTCCGCTGGTGTGTTGATGTCAGCGTGTGCGTCCACCCAGATCACTCCTGCGTCTGGGTGAACTGACAATAAACCTGCTAGGGAGCCAGCACCGATGGTGTGATCGCCACCTAGCACCAAACAAAACTTTCCCTCTTCAGCCTTTTGCTTGAAGATCTCGTACAATTGTTTCATTCCATTGCCAACTGTGACGAAATGAAAATGTCATGTCGGTAGGTCGTATATGATTCAAACGCAAACGCACCAGGAAAACATTGTTTGGCCTTTCCGTAGCAAGGATCAAGCTTAGGGTCATCATAGGCTGGCGCCTTAAATTTGAGATTTCCATTCTCCTCCACAGACCAGCCTAAGCCGACTAATGCTTTATGTAGCCCCGCTTTGCGCAGTAGATCGGGTCCGTCGTCCGCACCCAACAGCGGCTGACCATCTGCATGGGGTTAAGACAACTATATTCAGATTACAAAAATCATAGAGCCATAGCGTAAAAACCGTACACGTCATGGGAGCACCAATTATAGACACAGTTTGCGGCAAACTTAAGAGCTTGTTATGGTTGTCACCTACTTGCATATGCGAGTGAACTTGAGTCCATTGACGACAAGATGAGACTGAGATACTGCGTTGCTGCACGCGGCGCAAGTTTGATAAGGTGGCGCGAATCATCAGTTTAAACAGTTCTGCAAAAATTTGGCTAGTGACAGCTTACATAGGCTTTATAAGGCCTCTGAGCGCAATATACTTAGTTTTAGGACATTTTCTTAAAGGGCTTTCATGTACGCTTCATAGACTTACCGGCGAAAGAAGATTTCGGGCATAGCCCGCAAAAGATTTTGTCCACACACTCAATCAATATCAAGGTTGGTAAGCAACGATTTGCCAGTGGACAGAGACAAAACACGACGGTAGCTTTATTAAGAAGGCTTCATGACTAATTGGTTTTGATCGGTGGTTTACCCTTCCTCTGTAAAAAGCATAATAGCTGATTTTGGTCGACATAAATGCCTCCGAAGTTCATGAAGTAATTTCACTTAGTAGGGAGATGAAAGAGACAATACTTTTGATTTTAAAAGCTTTTGTAAACATGCTCTTTCGGCTTGATACGCCACGTCGTGTAATGTTGCAATTCTTGTATAAATGCTTCTGATGGCTGCTCTTTTGTTGCGGGTATTGTACCAATATCGAACTCGGAAAGTTCTCCAATGTAAAATTGTTTAAGATAGCGGAAAGACTGGCGACTGGCGTGGTAGATCTCAAACATGACTGTTGAATCTACATTTATCGCCTCTTGAGCAATTAATTCAGAACCCCCTGGATGCTCTGGGACCCAGCGCGTAATATCTAATACCATTCCTTGCATGACGAGCCACACCTCGCCCGATGCATTGCGCCGAACGACCTCTACCCATCGAATTGCTTCCTTGCGCACTCGTGATTCGAATTCACCAAAGCGTTTCTGACAAACCTCTTGTAATCCAACGCATCCCACTTTTATAGCAGCGGCTAAAAGATCGTCTATGACTGAAGGATCGAACTGAAACTCAGTGCTGTCGTCGCGAGCTTCGTGTTCGAGATATAACAGTACGCGATCGAACGTACAACAATCCACGTCTACCTTGATTGTAGTGGTAGCATCTTTATGTACACCCATGCCTGAAAGTACAGCTGATGACAGTTTGATGCACGGAAAAAGCAGCTTCTTTTTTACAGGAAATTCTTCCCCGTCGTTTGTAAGCACTGTAACAACGTCGGAGCGTACAGATTTTAGGCCTGCATTGTCGAGGGTTGACGTATTGAGCAATTTAAAAGCTGAAGAATCTCCGTTGTCTGATGACACAAATATTTGCGTGTCATGATCCACCCGACCGCGATACGAGTCCGGCATGGTAAAGTCTGTTTCGTCTTCATCCTTGACATCGACTTCCAAGACGCGGACGAAGTAGGTATGACCATCTTTGAAAGCCATCACGATACGCTCATGCTCAGTCAGTACGCGTTGCCACGTATACTTGATGAATGCAGCGGCAAACTCTTTGGCATCCGTCACAATCGTAGCAGTCGGATCCTTTATCGCTTCTGCAGTAACCTCCTCTTCCTCTTTGTTGATATTCATATTATTTTTCATTAGCATCGGCCGAATTTCAATTGCCACAGCGTTCGCAATCGACACCTGATCCCAGAAAAGTGCCCACTTTTCTGTCTGTAAACTGCAGAGCTCTAGATTGATCATTTGCACTTGTGACAAAGCAATATGGCCACATGGGACAGCCTCATGAGAACGCGCAGCCACTACAAACTGTGCGTGTAGTCTTGGATGGACAAGGATTGTACCGTCAGGACCTGCAGCATCGGTAGGAAAATCTTTTGGGTGCAGCAGAGCACAGTGACGCAACTCTTTCAGATACTCGTGGGAAATATTAAGGTCATCCATCTCCACCACACGAAGAGAAAAGGCTCTGGGGGTGACGGAATCTGTAGGCCTATTCCGTTGCTGTTGAAGACGAAGTGCCGTTGCTATGGCTGGTGCGCGAATGTCGCCCGCGGGATTATTGCTCGCGTTCCATGGCATCGGCCTTGTTCAGTACCACGACGGAATTAAAATTTCGAAGCAAAATGCTATCAGCATTAAATCATTTCTTCTTTGTATGTCCAATATTTGGAGGCAAGATTTGGACTATGAGCCTGTCTGACAAGAATGAGTATTCCAGAGATATATTCAAATATATGCTGCTATGCATGAAGATTTTCAATTCTCCCCCCGAAAGCCTGGCGCTCATTTTCACAGATTGTCAACTTAAAGATCTCATGTTTTGTTTCAAGTGAAACGATGGTTTGAAATCAAAGACCGCGTTAAGAAATCGCGGTGGATTCGTTTAAAGGAGGTGGAATGAAAGCCTTTTAAGCAACAACTGAAAGTGACTTATACAGAAGTTATGGCAGGGTAATCTGCAATAGGTGACCCGCTTTCGTATTCACCAGCACGTGACATGGTTTGTTTGCAACACCTGGTGGAATCACACAGCCGTGAGCTTGTCAATGCCTGTGAAAACATGGTTTTACTGTTGGCGGGCGGTACAAGGTTCTAGAAGGAGGTTGAAAGTTGCGGAGGGTGAGTTGAATGCAGTCTAGCGAAAATGGTGTATTCTTTTGCGCCTGTGCTAGGATGAGCGAGTCAAATGATATTGCCCATGATATCTCGTAAAAGCTTATGGCACATGTATGCAACGGCGTAGTGAACGACGTGCTTTGCGCATCCTAAGCAGCTGACATGGTTAATAAGTGTCGAGCAAATGCTGGGCGGCAGTCTGATACGCAATCGGGTTTTAAAGCACTGAATTGATATAATGTTTTAGTCTCGAGCTCCTGCTGGTGAAGTAGCCTCAAATAAAGTGTCATTATCTTGCTGACGTGCCTTGCACATGTGCTAGAAGGTCGGTGGTCTCCTGCATTACAGAGTCACGTCTGGTTTAGGTGCAGGAACACTGCAGCTTGTTGAAATCTCCTTCGCAAGAAACGACCCATACTGTTTTGGCTGTCTAACCGCGAGTACTACTATGACGTAGACAGCATCTTTGCCCGTCACCCATCTCTTCTTCATCAAGCACTCTGAGTATATGGGTGAGCTCACATCTGTCTATCATCTCTTACGTTTGTAAATACTCCTAGCCTTTCACTCGCAGTGGTTTTCTGTAACGTCAAGAGTGGTGCACAGGTGAAAAACGGTGTCATATACAAATCGTCGGGGTATGAATTTGTAAAAGGTGAGTCTGCCGATCAGACAAAAGTCGAAAATACAAGGCAGGCGAAACGCAACCTATCCTAAATGCTACGCTGTAATCGTTTGTGGCATCCTTCAAAGCTGATGTGCAGAAATTTAAAAAGTAGAGGACAAGTGCTAGCCTCACGGGGGCTTCGGACCGGAAGCGAATGCGAGAGCTCTGAAATTAGCGAGGAAAGCAAGCTCAGTGATGATAGAAATGGCTTGGAGCCTGCCATTAGCGGTTCAGCCGTATTCTGGAAGCCTCATAAAGCTCGACGAATTATTAGGTGACGCATGTGAGATGCACCTACGCTAATTCTATCAAGCTCATCCTAACGAAGATGAGACGACTGTTTGCTACACTGATCACCTGGGTTTCATCGTCTCCGCCCGTGGTGAATCGAGCAGGGGCAAAAGGTGGTCTTATCGTGAGACTGTGTTGCTTGTTGTTGTTGCCGAAAAACCAAGTTCATACCATCATGGTCAAACCTCGTGGCTCTGTCGAGGATTCATTTACCCTGAGGGCGACGTGTATGCCATCGAAGCCAATGCTTGGATGGACGCGACGATGTGGAACGACATTTTACGAACACAATATGGGAGGATTACTTGTACAGAAAAGATGGTCCACTGAGCCTTCACGTCGACAACTTTAAGTCGCGTCTGTCGCCTAAGTTCATGGAGGCACTTGAACAACAAGGAATAGAGTTGGGGTACCGATAAAAACAAGAGCGGTGCTACGACCGCTCAATTTGGACGCCATGAGCTTATCTGAGAGAATTTTCCTGGCAAAAGGAACTACTGCTAACGATACGCTCTGCTACTGCCGAACAGAAGATGTGAGTAATTGCAGAGATGGTGATTTGCGCGTGGAATAGCATTTGTGGTGAGACAATTAGAAAGGCCTGGATTAAATTCTGCATTCGGGAGGATGAACAGTAAAGAAATTTGTCTGAGAAAAAGGAAGGCGGGGACGTCAGCATCCGCATCTGCTGTGTAAGAACCCTGACACCCGTTTGGAGCTAGCTCCTTCAACTTGCCTTTTGACAGAGAACTACTTAAACCCATACCACCAGTATCCGACATACCCATCAAGTGATCAATTGGACCGCTGCCGTCTGACAATTTTCTTGGGGTCCTGCACAAACTATTCACATAAGTGGTCGAAATAGTTGGTTCTATGTTTATGTCATGCTACGGTTCTACTGAATGATGAAACCTCATCGATCGTTAGATTTTCAACGCAGACATTAAGAATTTACTTTCACGGGAGATAGCAGAATGTATGTGGTATACGTTTTCGCATTATACTTTCAACTGTAAAAATGATATCGATTTTGATGCTTTTTTGCGTCAAAATTCATATTGTAGTGATGCGGGTAGACATTCCTGCTCAATGACAGTACGGAACATCGGAAGTGGAGCTAACTTTGTTCCAGTATCATAGCTTTGAAACATTACATTTGGTCCTTCGACTAGCTCGTAATAAAGAACATATTTGATCTATGATGGGAGTGAATGCGAGAGACTACAACAAGAGCAATTCCGCTAAATACAAACCTGAAAGGTATGAATGAATAAGAGATTAAAATTATGTAGCTTGCGAGCCATACATTATTTAAGCCGGACATATAGGGGAGATTAAAAGATATCTGTGTTAAACAACATTTGGACAAGACACATATATCCAACTATTCTGATAATGAAAACAGACTGCTTTATCAAATGAGGTAATGGTTTACGGCATTGTCACTGTTGTCCTTCAAAGCGAAGCGCCAAAGTAATGAAATAATTCGGCATCGTATTGGTATGAATCAGAGTGATGAGAATCAGAAAAGGAGAGTCCGTTTGGCGGGATTCTGCATAACGCTTTGCAGACAAAGTTTTTATTAATATATGAGAGAATAAAAAAAATGCCCTAACTTTTGCCATATAGAAAAAAAATATCCCAACTTTTCAAAAAATAAAAAAAATACCCAGCACGTAAATTATCTCCGGGGAGCCGTAATATTACACAACAGAAGATGTTTGTATTAGGAATGAATTAGCATATTTAACAAAATACCCCACAATAACAAAGTATACATTAATATGCTATCATTCAGTTTACTATTAACCAAGTAAAGCTAAATTAAAGAATACGTTACTTCTAACCATGTCCCACATTAGCTCAGATGGTAGAGCGCTTGCAAAATACAAGCAAAAGTCCTTGGATCGAACCTAATTTTTGTTGGTGTCTCATGTCCCATTTCTCTGTGTCCCTTGTCCCTATGTCCTCATACCCATGTCCTGTGTTCTATGTCCCATGTTC